GTTTTTTGATTTTTTTGATTTAATTATTTTTTTAACTTAATCAGAATGAAATGAAATGTTTCTGCAACAGACAAATCTTCATATAAATTTCTATTGGTGAGTGTCTATAAGTAGAATTAAGTAATTACAGTAGAAAAATACAAAAAAATTCATTTAACTCAAATGTCACTATAGGCTGCTGTACATTGTCATGATGAGCTCTGCTGAGCAGTCAATTCAGATAGCACTTCTGAAGAATGAAGGACCACCAACACAGCGAGAATAGAGAAATATAATAATAAGAAGAGTAGTAGGGGCAAAAAGACTTTGTCAACTGCAAATAGCAGCTCTGAGACATTCTAAATAGTGAATCTAATGCAGGTCATTGAAGTATCTATGTACTCTGCTGAATCAATTGCTAACCTGCTCACCATATGAGATAGCAGGGCTAGATATCATATTGTGAGTGATCAATCATGATTTTTCTGAATAACAGAGGTTAGTGGCCCTATGATTCAAGTGGTCAATAAGACTACTTTGAAGATTCAAGGGATTGAGGTCGCCTCCATCTCAGTCAAAGAAAGATTAATCAAATTTAACCACATTTATTTGGTGCCAGAGCCAGGCTTATCCGCCAACCTCATATCCATTAACCTATTGGAGCACCAGAGCTATATTCACTGTGATCTGCAGGTGGACACTGGAAATTACTTTGAGATAATAGCACCTATAGGAAATAATATCTTCTATATGAATTTGAATTCCAATAATATATATGTTCTATCTGACACTTCTTTTATGTTCAGAGGTATTATGAATGATCTGGAGCTTGGACCACTGGCATACTTGATGATCTCAAAGCCCAGGATGATTTCAACAGATTATGATCTGAACACTGCATCACTGGGTCTTTTCAACTATTATGATGTGGAGCAGCTAATTAATCTGAAGGATCTGGATACTGATATCTTCATTTTGTCCTCATCAACTTGACTACCTGCCATTATGCTGAAGCAGTTACTGATTGATGAGTAATACAAGTGATTGGGCTATATTGGTGAGAAGAATCTAATTAAAATGTCATAGGAGCTCTGTTTTAGAATCATTATCATTGATCTGAAGAAGCTCTTATTCTGCATCATATGTGTTAAAGCTAAATATAAATGTGCAAGTTATAAAAATGCTTCACTATACTATACTACTCACAAAGGTCTTAAGATCTGGGTGAATCTATTTGAAGGTAGAGAAATACTTGGTAATAAAGAAGATACACTATCTTATACAGATAAGAAGCTTGTGATGATGATCACTGATAATGTCATGTGAATGTGATAGATCTTTCTATTAGAGCATCACAATAAGGCTCTAAAATATATATAGACTTTCAATCAATTTATGAAGAATCTGCTCAATCTCAGTATTATAATTATCCACTTTAATCATGATGAGTTGAATTCAAATACCATAGCCACCTATATGATGAGTGAGGATATTAAATGAGAATCAATCTCACCTCATACTCTGCAGCAAGATGGTGTGTTTGAATGTTCTATTGATCTGATTATTGAAAAAGTCTAAATATTATTAATAGATTCCTTCTCCCCCCTCCAGATATGGAGTGAGGCAGTAATTGTGGTGATCAAAATGCTTAATCTTATGTCAACATCAGCTAAGCTCTATAATAGTGTAGAGGATTCAGATCTGAAGCTAGTTACCTCATATGAAGCTTAGTTCAGGGCCCTGTCCTTTGCACATAGGATTCACTGATGAGGGTGCAAGACTTATTTAAAAATAATACTCAAGCTGAATATGAAGATGGCTTTGCAATCACAGAAGCTTATATTTACAAACTATGATAGCTTTACTAATTATAGATTGATTGATCTTTCTAATAATCACCTTTACATATCAAAAAATATAATATTTCAAGAAGATCTTTATTTGACAGATTCTCTGGCTCTGCCTGAGCAAGATGTCAAGAATCTATCTTCTGCTACCTGTGTGGCTGCAGTTGCAATCCTCTCTATTCAATATGATTTATCATCAGATAATTTTATGATGGACAGGAAGTTTCTATCTGCTCTTATAATATTTCTACACTCTATAAATAATTGATGAATAGACTATAAGATTACTATGTGAATTTCAATATTTTTGATGTGGAATACTACTATTCTCTCAGAGTCTGCTTTTGAGATAGAGAATTCTCCAATGCTCACTGAGAATATTACTTCAGTGAGAGAGGTCTTAGTGAGAGATTTCATTGACAATTTAACTGATGTTTTCACAGACTCTGAGATCTTCAGCTTGCCAGTTCCAAAGAATCTCCCTCAGGCTCAGATGTCTGCAGATTGAAAATATTACTTCCATGCCTGTGTTAAGAAGATTAACTACCTCAAGTAGATTAGTGCATGGCAGCTAGTTGAAAGGACCTCAGATATGATGATTCTATATGGCCAATGAGTGTTCAACAAAAAGATTAATAATACATGTAGAATTGAATAATATAAGACTCACTGAGTAGTTTGCAGCAATTATCAAGAAAAGAGTGTCAACTATTTGAAGACATTTACATCAGTTATATCAGCTTCTACCTTCTGAGCACTTATGATAATCTTGATATTCTGAGAATGGCATGTTCTGCAGATTGACATAGTTACAGTGTTCTTAAATGCTCAGCTTCTCATCAATGAATATATATATATGCATCAACCTGCTGGGTTCTGTGAGGGATGCAGTGATCTGATATATGAATTGATGCAGAAACTATATGACCTGAAGCAAGCAGCACTATTATGATATGAGAAGTTGTGAAAAATGCTATTGAAAACAGGCTTCCACATTAGTTCTCATGACATTAGTTTTTTTATAAATGATGTCTGCAAGATTTATATAATTATCTATGTGGATGATAGTCATCTATATAGTCTGAATATATCAGATATTGAATGGACAAAAGCCCAGATCATCACTAATTATGAGATCAAGAATGTAAGTAAATCAAACCAGTATTTGAGAATGAAAATTGATTGAGATGTTGAATTATTATCACTGTCCTAGTCACTGTTTATAAAGAACCTGCTTGAGGAATTTTCAATGAATGACTGCCACTCAACATCCTCCTCTATGAAGGAGAATATTGATTTCATGAGTGATAATGAAGAACTGATTGCTTATACAGTGGAATTTATGTTATATTCTTATCAATTAGAGATTGACTCTCTGTAATATCTTACTGTCAACATATATTCTGATATAAGCTTTACTGTTGACTTCTTAAAGAGATTCAGCTTCTGCTCTATCTTGAAAAATTGAGCAGCATTCAAGTAATTTCTTAGATATCTACAAGGCATATTTGACATAGGTGTGTCCTACTGAAAAGACACAGATATAGAATCTATAATGTTCACTGATGCTGATTAAGCAGATCATGATCTGGGTTCTCACTTCATCACTGAATATGTCATTTATATGACAGAGAGTTCTGTTGCTTGGTAAAGCAGCAAGCAGACAGGTGTTTTAAAATCATCTACTGAGATTGAATATATCACATCCTTGAAGGCTGTCTATGAGCTTGTCTGCCTCTAGGAATTGCTGGAGGATGCTAGCTTCATACCATCTCAGCTCAATAATCTTGATAATAATGACAGCTCAATCAAATTATTAGTCAATAAGCTGATATATACAATTTGAGCAAATAATAAATCAGCAATTGAACTAGTCAAAAGTGAGACTATTCCACATTAATCTAAGCATATATAGGTCTGCTTCCATACTCTTTGGGATCTTGTCTGCAAGAATAAGATCTTGATTGATTACATCCTGTCCACTAAGAATGCAGCAGACAGGCTGACCAAGCCACTTGGAGTGACTAGATACACCCTATGACAGCAGATATTAGAAGACACAGTAAGCAGGCAGAAATGATTATATGGAGAAAATGACTGATTTTTCAACAATATGGGTTTTCCAGTCAAATTATGTACTGATACCTAGTTACAAGCTATTTTTTGTATGTAATCTCACGTACAATTACATTGGTGAGTGGGGGTGTCAGGCCTATCTGCCTTCTTATGTAATCCACACTGTATATAACTTCCGCGTAGCTAGCGATCGCTACATAATCAATCAAGCAATCTATCTTTCACAGAACCATGGTTCTTCCCGCACCAAAAACGCCTGCTTCTAGATCGTCATTGGCTGGGATAGTTAGGCCCTTTGTAATTTCAATTCTGGAACTTCTTATGCACTCGTGGATTTCGATGTATGAGTCAAATATTGATTTCTCTACTTTCAGTTGCCAGCCATATTCGAAAATCGATAAGGTTCCAGGCAAAATATAGTTAGAACACATCCATTGCTCATTATTCCTCATCACAGCTTGGGTTCTCATTAGTTACATAGATTGGTAAAGCCAAGATTTCCTATTGCAAAAGATAGAGTTATTACTTTTTAACGTGATAAAAGACAATGGATATGTTGAATATTGAAATGATGAAAAGTTAACAATGAATAGTGATGGACAGAGAGTTCTTCATATGCCGCTTGCATAAGTTTAATATATATCCAACAAAACCTATATGTTTTTGGATGCCTCCGAGTCTTCAGAAAACATATTTATCAAGTGATCTATTGCAAGAGCGGCATGAAAATTTTCCACTACTTCAACATATGATGCTAGTCTTCTAGTCCTGTTGAGCCGTTGAAAAAGAGTGCGTGCTATTGTAAATTGCGTAGAGATTGAAAAGATACTCTTCACTTCATTGAGAATTAAAATCCGCAACTTCTACCAGATACAAGAAAGTTAAAGACATATCTTCGTTTACTCCACTCTTGTCCGGCTCATATGGAAAAGGAAGATTAAATAGGACAAAGTTAATCATATTTAAACGGCATTTCATTCACGTGTATTCTCCCACGATGTCATTCGCACCTTAACCCATTTAAGCTATCAATGTCCCACATTCAACACCCCGTCTTATTTCAGCTCTATCTAATTTTAACCCTCTGCTTTCTGCCGTCTAAAAGGCTTTCCCAAGGCGCCCCTCCTGCTTGCGTTCCTCCACCAGCGGCATATATGCTTTTCGCCGCATAAGGCTCTCTTCCGGCCACTCCTGCTCTATGGCATAATACTCCTCCTTCACTGGATCATTCCCGGGCAGAGTGAGCCATGGCACTTTCGAGCAGATATAGATATTGGACATCCGGAGAGACTAGCGACATGCAACCATTTCCGCACCTGAAAATCTGCTGACCAGAGCCACTTTCGGATAGCGTATTGATGACTTCCGGCTCGTCTCGCAGGTTTATGACACGGTCAGCTTCAATCAGCACATTAATGACGAAAGTGGAGCCGGTTTCTCGTTGGCACCCTAGAAGGGCTGGTCAGATTGACGAGGGTGGTGGGATTGTGATTGCTCATATATATATATATATATGTGTGTGTGTGTGATAGACTCTTATGATTAGTATTATCTCCTCTTCCACATAAGTTACATTTACAATGGCAGCAGTGGACAAATCGAGGCGCTGTTTGACTTGGTACCTTACTGCCTTGCATGTGCATCCCCCTTCCAAGGGATACTGCGCTTCGGGTGAAATCGTGTTTTAAGATACCCATTCAGAGTATTGGGACAGATTTTTAAAAATATAATCAATGACTGCTAGAATGGCACTTGCCAGCATGTCACGGAACACTTTTGGACTTGTTGGGAAAATTCAACAGTTAATAATGTCAGGCATCGTATGCACATCACACCCGGCAGCTTCGTATTTAAACAGGGCAAGGTCAAGTTGCTGCTTGGAGGCTCTATTTCGTATCTTGGGTGAGCAGGTTCTTGTAACTGGTTAGAGAGTTATTATTTGCTAATTCTCCGATTACCAAAATTAGTCGGATGGAAGAAGTGAAAAATCCCACAATTTATTTTAGTGTTTTGTTACATATTTCAAGTTTCGGTGAACAGAATCCAGTAGAAACGGCTCCAATAGCTCAGCGGTTAGAGCGTGCGATTGCAGATCGCAATGTCCCTTGTTCGAATCAGGGTTGGAGCTTAACTAGCATCACTTTTTCCCTCCACTCAAGTATCATCTTTCTATCTTCCCGCTCTTTTTCGTTGTCCCGTATTTTTTTCTTTTCTTCTTCTTCTTCTTCTTCTTCTTCGTCTTCATCTTATTGTTTTTCGGCTGGGTCTCTCGACGGAGGAACATTCTGTGTCTATGATGAGAGTGAAAATTTCAGGCTGATATTTACTTGCTTCCCCTCTGGCCCCAATATCCTTTAGTTACGTCTATTTATCAGCCAACCTATTACGATTGATCCCAATCGATGTCTATCCTTCTATATTCTAAGAACTTCAAAGACTCTTCTCTGTCGATTTACAATCAGCCGTAACTGCCTATCTCTCCACGAATCATCAGACGACTCAAGCTGGCCAGGCTTTTGTCTGGGTGCGAATACCCCTTTGCGAAGGGTTTTCGTGAAAAGTTCGTACGAGGGATAGTCTGTGTAAGGAAAATTGACAGCGGATGTTAGATACACGTCTGCCTCAACATCTGCTGATTTGGATGGGCATCTGCGTTCGAAGATAAAGGAAATTAAAATGTCGACGGTTAACATACATCCATCAACAAACTTATTAACTTGCTCAACTGTCATTCCCGACCCCTTCGCCGCAATCAGGTTTTGCTCTTGCTCCTGGCGCCAGTCATATACGAAATGGGTATCCTCAGCATCACTGGTTGGATCTGGGTTAGCTGTTTGCTATCCGTTGATGGACTTGGGATCACATGCTGGCGGTTACTGTACGTACATGTGTATAAAAGCATCTAGCTGACTAGTTTCCCGGTTATACAGTTAGCATGACAAATCATAAACTTGCCGCATCACGCAGCTTGCAAATGTTGAGAGAAGGGAAGTGAGAGAAAGAAAGATAGCTCACTCAGTAAAAGCATCATAGCCCCTCAGCGCATCATTGATCACCTTTACATCTTCAAACCTAACATATCCCAGTCGACCCCTGTACCCCACTAAATCCTGTTTACACTGTTGCACAGCATGCTCCCACACCTTGCGAATTTCTTCCTCCGGACGAGCTCGAAACCCAACACACCAACCCTCGAATATCACCACCTTAACCGGCCTTTGGCCAGCAGACACGTCGTTGACGACCTCCCACCTGCTTTCCGGAATTCGATCACCCTGTCCATTAAAAGCCGACTTATCATATGCAGGTATTTTGGTGGGTAATCCTTGGCGGAGGGAACTGAAAATCCGCTTGCCAAGAGGAATATCGTGCGTGGAGGGCTGGCCACGGTGTTGGAGGAGGGGGTTTGAAGGATGCGAGGCAGCCAGGCGTAGTTGATCTGTATGGTTGAGATAGATGTCATCAAGGGAGAACGCTATCGTTGGGAGATTATATGGTGGAGAAGAGAGGGTAGAGCGCAGTATGGCGACCTATATATTTATATGGCTCTGACCGATCAATGGGGTCGGCACGCCCGTATTAGCGGCTAGGAGGGCATCGGGAAATCGCGAACGGTGATGATTGTGTATGGTAGAGTTTGACTTGGGATATTCAAGTCCTTATATTCTCATTTCTTTTTTGTCGCGAACTAATTTTCCCAAACCTCCTCCCCCACCAATGTTATGTGCATTGAATGGGGGAGAGAAGAACACTATCTTACCAAAACTGTCTTCCCCGCACCCTGGACGCCATTAAGTCCGACGAAGAAGGGCGGAGGATTGGAATCATGTGCATGTCTTTGTCCGTGTAATTTCAATTGCTCCAAAAGAAATGGGAGGCAGTGTTCAGACTTGTCGTCAACTATTCCGGCCATATTGTAAATATGCCTAAGGTGTCCTAGATGCGAAAGCAAGCAAGTCTTATTTAAGTCTTGCATCCTGGAGATTCCGTGAGTGTGTGTGTGTGTGTGTGTGTGTGTGTGTGTGTGTGTGTGTTTTTATTTAACGCCCGGTTAGTCCACGTGCCTTAAGGGCACGTGATCTAGTAGAGTCCGCGTCGAACTATAGGGCGGGTAGAGCTACGCCCGTAGGCGACTACCTATCTAGTAGCTATCTTACAAATGAGGCAAAAATGGGTTGCGTATTGCTGCACCGGCAGAGCCCATGGGTCGGTTGCCATAGAGCAGAGGTTTTGAGAGGTTTTAGGTTTGTGGGAGGGAGGTAGGGGAGGCGGATAGGAAGGAAGGCAAGGAAGGAAAGAAAGGAGAGGAAAGAGAGGAAGGAGGAGGAGGTGGTGAGGAAGATGGGGGCAAGACAGAGGAGAGAATGGTCTGTGGGATCTGATCTGGAGGTGCGCGACGGCGCATTGGACAGATATTCTGATAGAAGGCTGTTTCTCTTAGCCAGTTATTGAATTCTAGGGCCCCACGCGAGGTTGCCAGTGTCTCGCGGAGATTGTAGATAGGCTGGTGCTGCTTTGCTGCTTTTCTTGCAAGAGTGCAATAGTAGAAATGTTCTGGAGTTTTGCTATGTCCACACCGGCAGTAGCACTCTGCATCTTCATGCTTAAGGTGGCTGTGGTAGGCTGCAAAGTCTCCATGACCTGATTGGGCGGCATAGAGCTTTCCTAATGTGAAGCGTGAAAGTTTTACCTCTGTTGAGGCTCTCTTTAGTGGGATCTCCAGCTCCATATAGCATTTGGGCTGATTTTTGGCCCAGTAGTTCTCAAAGGCCCGTGTGGTTTGTTCCATAGTGTGTTGCTTTATATAAGCTAGAGTGCCTATGCTGTCAGGTTGAGGTACCATGCTTGCACTTGCTGCCTGCGCTGCGGCTGCTTTGGCTTCAAGATCTGCCTTTTCATTACCAGCCACGCCTGCGTGGCCTGGGACCCATCTAATGACCACCCTGCTCTGGGTGGCCAATGGGAGCCTATCCCTGCTCTGCCAGGCCTTTATGGCTTTCAGAAACTGCGCGAAGACCTGCTGGCTAGAGGTGTTTGGCATGGATCCAAGGGCTCGTGCTACCTCCAAATTGTCTAGGCAAATGTAGACGTTGCTGGCAAACTTCGCCTGAGGCAAGGTGGTGGCTTCCTTTAGGCCCTGCAGGGCTGCCATTGCCTCTGCATCAAAGACCTCTGCTTTATCCATTGGCAGGTTTCCTGTGGAGATTAGACGGTGTTTGCTACCCCAGCATATAGCCCATTCTGCACCAGTCACATGCTGAGGGTGCTCTATCTGTGAACCATCAGTAAAGACCACCAGATCCAGGGGATTGTGTTGTTGTAGCCAGCTCTTAAAGTCTTGTGCTGCCTGTTCCTTTGTGCGGCCTGCCTCATACCCAATCTGCAGATCTTCTTTCCTGGGAAATCTCATCCAAGGGGGCGTGAGTAGAGGGTCATATGCTTCTATCCCACCAGCATGACTGGACGCTCTAGACAGACGTGTGGTATAGGGTTTGGTGGTAGCTACTTTATTAGAGCGTCTCACTAGTGGGTGCCTCTTGTCAAGCTTTTTGATTCTTACTGCAAATACAGCACGCCGGTTGTCTAGTGTCTCTTTCATTGGCATGATTCCTAGCTCATGGTGTAGAGCTGAAATGGGTGTGGTCTTGTAGACTGGCAGTGCCCCTTGCAAAGCATCTCTAAGGGCTAGATCTAGCTTTCTGACTAGGCAATCCATTCGATTGGAGATTTCCTTTCCCTTCTCCATTTGTGTGGCTCCAGGCCACCAGGCCTCTGCTCCATAGCAGAGCACAGAGAGCACACAGGCCTGAATGGATTGTCTAAGCAGTTGTACTGGGGCGCCTCTTGCTGTGTTGCTTAGTGCTCATATGCCATTAGACACCTGTCGTGCCTTAGCCGCCATGGTCTCCACGTGTTTCTTGAAGCTCAGTTTTCTATCTAGCCAGATTCCTAGATATCTTATGGAGCTTTTCACTGCCTTTGCTGTAATAGAGTGAGTGCCAGATGTTGTTTCAAGGTCAATTGAGGGGTTTGAAAGGGTTCTGCGCCGTGTGAAGTGTGCTATCTCAGTTTTGGCAAAATCAAATGTCAGCCCTTCTTTGCTGGCCCAATCATTTAGCAACTTGAAATCCTCCTGGAGAGTAACAACATTCCCTTCAAGAGTGGTTCCAGCACTAAGCAGTCCTAGATCATCTGCGTAGCCTAAGCGTGCACGTCTTCTTTGAATAGTTCCTAGAAAGAACAGAGGCTGAATAAACAGCATGAATAGAATAGGTGAGACTGGCGAGCCTTGTGGAAGCCCTGCTGGGATATCAAAGAGCTCTCCCAGGAGTCCATCCAATCTGATCCTGCCTGTGCGTCCTGTCATGAAGCTTTCCACCCATCTAATTAAATTTGGTGGCCAGCCTTGTTCTTGCAATCTCCGCAGCATCCTTCCTCTGAGTACAGCATCAAAAGCACCCTTGATGTCCAGAGTAAGAAGAGAGACTACTTTTCCATGGGCCCAGGCTTCCTCTATATCATGAACCATCGCTGCCACTAGGTCTGAGGCAGCCCGCCCAGGGAGGGCTCCAAAATGCTGGGGGTGGACAATCTTCTCTTGTATAGCTGTCCAGGCCAGCCTACGGGCTACCAGGCGTTTCAGTCCCTTCCCCAACGTTGAGAGAAGGGCTATAAGCCTGTAGGATCGCGGGAGTGTTGGATCTCTGTTGACCTTAGGCAGCACAACCAGTGTGGCATCTCAAAAGGAGGTTGGGTGCCAGCCAACCCTAAGGCAGGCTCTGAACAGCCTTTCCACTGATACCTTAATATGTGGCCATGCCTTTTGTAGCACCTCTGTTGGCACTCCATCAGTTCCTGGAGTGGTATTACCCGTGTTCAGCAGAGAACTTTGTATCTCATGTGCTGAGGCAACAGGAAAAGGTAATTTGACAGATGGTGGGTTGGACCAGCTGATTGGGATATCCTCTCTGCTTGCAGCCTTCTGTAAGAGCACCCGTTGCAGAAGGTCTCTTTTCTCTCTAGGGGTTGTTCGCGTTCGCCCAGTCTCTTCATCTACAAGAGGGGGGGAATGAAAGGAGCCAGTTGAATGGGCTCATTTGATCATCTTAAAGATATCTTTCCCCACTGAGGCCTCTGCTATCTTGCCTCGCCAGTATTCTCTCTTGGCTTTCCTGGTGGTCCTGGCTACGTTGCTTTTTGCTTCTTGTAAAAAACTAGAGCCTAGGTGCTGTGCACGATGTAGTGTTGTCACTGCTTTCTGGCAGTCCTCATTCCACCATGGCTGACCTGTGCCTTGCCCGGTGCTCTTCTTGGTGGAACTTTCCAGGGAAGCTATTAGTGCATCTGTGATACCTTTAGCCAGGGCATCCAGCTGATCTGTATTGGGGTACTCTGGGAAATCACATAGTTTGTCTAGTTTTGGCTTATAGGCCTCCAGCGTCTGGTTAAAGACCTTCTCATTCATGATGTCGAGACAGAAAAAATGGGTTGGTCTGTCAGGCCTTGCGCCCTGTGGAAGGCTGATTTTGGTGAGAAGAGTCTGGTGGTCAGAGGAAGTGTAAAGGGATCTGTCCACCTGTGTGTCCACTCCTTTGATAACTAATTCTGAGGTGGCCCAGGCCAGGTCTATCATGTTATGCCCACGTGTGGGAGTGTCTGGGTCCATGGTGAGAGTAAAGTTGAAATTCATGGTCCATTGCAGGAATGGTTCCGCCCACATGCTTGGAGGCACTCCTGGTTGCCACACGGGGTGCTTGATATTGAGGTCGCCAGCAAGGAGCAATGGGAGTGCTGGGACAGACCAGGAGAGAAGACAGCCCACACCTTGTCCAGGATCCTCTGCGCCTGGGGGTGCATTGTATATGTTGACTGTCTGAAGCTGTAGACCCCAGGCCTGTATGTGCAGCATGTGGATGTCCCAGTTTTCTGCCCAGGGGCCTGGGACTGCATGAGCATGGATTTGTGGGTGTTTACGCACATAGGTGAGGACCCGTGGCTTCCTGTCCCACTTTTCAATTGGGGCAAAGCAGTTGAATGCTGGATGCTTTTTGGAGATGCGTTGGCTTAAGTTCCTGTGAATCCAGGGTTCCTGTATGAGAAGGATGTCAGTCTTTCTTTCAAACGCTAGATTGAGGGCCGTCTCATGTGCTGGGCCCCCTTTTCCTACGTTGACTTGCATAATCTGCAGGAATTGTGGAGATCTAGAGTTCTTCTTCATTGAGTAGCTGAAAGGAGGGTGTTGTTGTGTGAGATGACGTGTTGGGTGTTGCATTAGATGTTGGGTTGGGCGCCATGCCTAATGCTGTGCCTGATGCTGTGCTCAATGCTGTGCTTGGTGCTGTGTTTGATGTCGGTGTGAGGTTAGATCTATGCTCAGTAGAATCATTCAACCTCAGGTCTGCTGATGGCCCTCGACCACCGCATTTGCTGTTACTTGCCTTGGCCAAGTATGCCTTACTCTGTGCATTGCGGATATCCCTCAGCTGGTTTCTTGAGTGCCTTTGAACAGTCCCATTCTTTATCCCTGGTCTGGTGGGGCAGGATGGATCATCCGCGGCATGTGGTCCAAGACAGTTAGTGCAGTGATTGGGGCATCCACATGCTTCATTCTTCTTATGACAGGATGGATTTCCTTTCACATGATTCTTAGAACTGCATTTTTTGCAGTGAGGGACGCAGAGGCAGTATCTCTCTTGATGAAATCCCCAGCATTTGCTGCATTGTTGTATTTTGACCTTAGGTGCCTTTCTGATCACTGGTCTTTGATATCCATATAGTTCCACTTTTGATGGCAGGTTTACTGCTGTCTCTTGCGAAAAGTGTAATATAAGAGTGGCTGTTGGGTTTCCAGGGTGTATTTTTGCCCAGCAACTCTGGACAGGCTTGATTCTGGTTTGGAGTGTGAATTCTTCT